GGGCGGGAGGTGGCTTTTGTTCGCCGTCACCTTGGCGGCGTGTGGCCTGCCGGCGATCGCTCTTCCGCCTCGCCCCGGGCGGCGGGGGGAGAAGCGGCCCCTCGCCCGCCGCCTGCGGGCGTACCGCCCCGGGCCCTGCGTGACTGGGTGCTGCGGCGTTCGGCCCCGCGCTCGCCTTCCCCGCTCGCCTGACGCGTTGCCTTCCAGGGGCCTCCAGAGGTGTCTGGGCTTCGGCGTGTGCGGGATGGCGGTTCCGCGGCCCCGTCTGTACTGTGGGAGCAAGCTTAGCTTCCCACCCTCGGCTCAGCGAGCCCTCCTTACGAATCGGTTCTGCGATGGCATCGCCGGCTGCAAGATCTATCCCGGTTCTGCAGACCTCGCCTTTCTCTGCTTCCTCTTTCCCCAATCACAACGCGAGCTTCTCGGTTTTTCACACGTAATATGGCTGAAGTTGTTGCGAGCACCTTTTATTCTGCAGATCTGGATGCCTTGGGTAGATCTTCTCCGAGCTTCTCTCGTTTGCCTTCTGAGCTGGATTCGGTGTGTTCTCCAGCTTTTGCTGCCCTTAACCTCGGAGGGCTAAAGTAGAGGTCATTGCAGTTCCGGTGTTGGTGTGCAGGAGCATCCCCACGGCAAAGCTTTTTAAATCCCTCGGTTAGTTGGCTGACCCTGGATCTTGAGCTTGGTGCCAAGCACCACTGCACGAAAGAGCTAACACAGTAGCGAGTGAGGGAATACGAGATTATTGCTTGATTTCAACCATAATGACTTAGTCAGTCATGTAGGGTTTTTTTATTGTGGCCTTCCATGTTGGTTTGGCAGTTCCCGAGCTCTCTATGTTCTAGGCATTTCAAGTTCAGCGTGCAAGTGTTCTGCTTTGCTACAGAAAAAAGCGTAAAGATACCCATGGTATTTTTCAACTGTTGAGAAATAGGGTAAGTTTTATTTTGGTCCTTGCTCGGTTTTTGTGCAGGTAGGCTACTTGTACACAACCTGTATGTTTAAAGCCAACTCGCTATCCTTTGGTCTGTCATGGGTTGGTGGAGCATGAGGGGAAAGATACCCTCTCTTAGTAGGCGGTCATCTTCTGTGTAAAGCACTCTCTGCTGTCTCAGGTATTTCAGGGTGGTGGGTTTTTTGTTTGGTTTTTTTTTTTTCATTTCTCTTATGGACGCTTTTAATTAGGGAGTGGTAGCAGAATGAAGATCAGTGACCAGCTTAATAGAAATGACCACTCTGCAGCATAGGTTATGCCAACCTACTCCGTGCTATGTGGCAGACTTCACATGAAGTAATGTGGAGCACGAACTGCAATGTATACCCAAGTTCCTGAAGGTACTATAGCTGTATTACCGTAGCGCTGCGAGTGGGTATAGGCTTTGTCAGCTTGCATTCTGAGCCAAGAGGGTGTTGTTACTGACAAACTGGTATTGCCTTAGCTTCTGGAGTTAATTTATCATTAACGACACGTTCTATGTTCATCGTGATTGTAAGTATGCCTACAGGGCCATACCTACCCTAGGAAACCTTTTCCATTCTTAAGGATTCCTTCTTCTTGTGGACTCTGGTAGCTTGGGTGCAAAAGACATGATCTTGGTTTACCATTTGAAATGTCCTTGCAATGTTCTAGTTGGCAGATGTGGTCTCGGCCTGTGGAATTATGATCGGTATCATATGATTTTTTCATTAGCAGAGTAAAGTCTTCTCCGTGATAGCTAGCTTACACTGAAGAGAAAACAGAATGAGCTGACCATCCAGTCTACTTATCCACCGGTATCCTTATGAATAAAATGTTTTACTTTATGGAACTGAGATTTCAAATTATACATCTACTGTCACACTTAAAGAATATTTTACAGTGCTCAAAATAGGCTGAGGAAACACAGTATCTTAATGCACAGTGGTGAATTTGAGTCTTCCTTCTTGCTGTAGCAGTTGTGACACTGGATGTCATTTCTTCTGAGAGTATTTGACAAATGAAGAACTGCGTTGCAACTCAAGGAACATGTGAAAAGATTAATATGTCAGACTAATAGGTATATCTGATGAGATAGCAGAAGAAAGGCACTGAACCTGGCATTGGATGATGACACATGCAGCGAGAGAGATGCAGTGGCTTCCCCAGAAAGGGTGGTGCCATTGGCTATGGTTGCTGTTGTTATTGCTATTGAGGGGGGTGTTAGCTCTTTTGGATAGTGCAACTTAACTGCCCAGAAGATGGTCCCCTGTAGTAGTCATGTGCCTAAAATACAGGGTGCTATTAAGCTCCTCTCAAAAAAAAAAAAACCCAACAAAAAACCCAAAACAAATCCCCCACCAACCGCCCCCCCCCCCCCAAAAAAAAAGAAAAAAACACCACACAAAACAGCCCTGCAGGCCAGCTTGATTTGAAAGAACTACATGCTGTGTGTTGGGGCTCAGCCAATTCAAATTGTAGCGGATTAGGTAAAGGAGATCATAAAGTAAAGGGATTCTGGTAGATTATACAGGTTTGCTGGCCCTTACTGCAGAGGGAGGATGATCTGAGCGCTTACCTCGCAGGGCATGAAAGAGAGAAGGTGGTTTCAGTACTGAACTGGGTTGTTTGGGACTTTCGATGGCTCTTTCAGTAGTTTTTCGTTTCGGTTGATGCTTATTTTACTTTACCATGGAGTAACCACGAGCCGTTGCAGGGCTGTATTACAGATGCCCTGGCTTGTGCCAGCTGGAGTGTCAGTGGCCAGTTTTTTTAGCTTTATTCAAGGTGTGGCTGCTCACACAATGCGTTGCAGTAGTGGGATCTCAGAGTCACGCTTATGGTTTGCGGTAGCAGGCACACTCTTTCAGGCATTATCTGCTTGTCTGCAGTAGGAAACGCAGTTTAAAAGTGGTAATCTGGATTTAGGAGAAACCCGTCCAAGAATGTGAAAGCTGCTGTCCCCTTCCCTTCTGTTTTCCCTCAGCTCCTGTGGTGTGGGAAGCAGCACGATGTCCCTTGTGGCTTTGTTTTGTCTGCTTGCTTTGTGGGGAGCATCTTTCTGATTTGCAAGAACGTTTTGCACAATTTTATTTTCAGTTTAAGTGGTATATTCAAATCTGATCAGCGACTTGGACACAAGTTACAGACTTGCGGTTTTACGAACAAGCCACGCTGTTGCAGATTTCTGTAAAACTATAGCTCAATGTCTGTGTGCCTTTAGTCGTGGACGAATTCTTCTATGGAAGCGCTGTTCAGGGGATGAAATTTGCTTGTCAATAAAACAAAATATTTTACTTGCTCATAGTTTTTTAGTAAAACAAGTGGCGAGGCCTGCATCTCCGTCCCACAGCTTGAAAGTTTGTCTTAGTGGAGGTTACCTTCACGTTCAGACGATGCTTTGGTGAGCTCCTGTCACAACTCAGATCAGGTTTTGGTTGGGTTTGGGTTTTTTTTTGAGGTATAATTGGTGAAGTATCCAGGCAGCGTCACTGTCGTTGGTCTGTCTTGAAACAGGATGGAGGTGGCTTTGAACTACCTCTTTTGGCACGACCAAAGACTTCGTGCCAAATTTTATTTGCCGGATACCTCAATTTGGGCATGTCCGCCAGCATTCTGTAGCTCAGTCATCGCCTCAGTTAACTTAATGCCTTGCCACAGGTAACTAGTCACATGTCTTTTTTCTACAGGGTAAGAGTAATAATAATGAGACGACTTACCTATATTTTAGAAAACAAAGGCTTTTCTAGTGTAAGAGCTGCTTATTGAGCAAGATGCGTGCCACAATGTTTTGACTACTCAGTGCATAGTGGCCCTCAGTACTTCTTCAGAAACGAATTGCTGCTGCCCTTCTGTGAGAACTGATGGGTGATAGTTTGGGTGGCTTTTTTTGTTATGCAGATGAAGAAGTGACAAACACATTTTATAAATAAAATTTTACGTATAAAGATGATTACAGGCTGAATGAATCTGCACATTGTTAATGCAGTGTGGACTTGAGAAATTATCATAGCAGTTGGTTCCCAAGAACTTCAGTACCGTTGCCCTAACGTGAGCTACATCTCATCCTTTTAGCCCTTCACAGTTTCATCTCCTTGCAAAGGCTAACTTCTTCCTTTATTTGTCATGTCTCGTGTTTCTTATCCCGGGCCATGGAAAGGTGGTTTTTGCAGAGCTGAGGAAAGTCTGTAATAACCCTGTACCTGAATCTAACAGAATGTAGCTGGGAAGTTGTCGCAAAGTTAAATGAACGTTACTATTTATTTCAGCACTACTCTGCAGTTGCACTTGGTGTTCCTCTTCTGAGGAAAATATCCTTTCTGCTTTTGTTCATTTGCTTATCTTTGCATGCAAATAACAAATAGTTCCTTTCTGTGCTAACTCTCCCACTGTTTTTCTTTTCTTCAAAGAAGTGACCATGGAAATAACTCAAGATAGGAATTCGGTTGTTTGAGATCACGGTGACAAGCTTATCCAGGCCCACTTGTATGCGTAAGTTGTTGTTAGGAACTTGAGTCATGCCAGTTGAAGCTGCAACAAGAAGTATTGCATTGATGCGTGTGCATGTTCTTCCAGTTCTGGAGTCCGGCCCCTCCGGTAGGTGGCTCCAGGTCCCTTACCTCTGAGCTTTGTCTGGAAAAAAATGTTTCATTTTGTCCTCCAGCTTGCGAGTCTGTTACGAAATATATCGCGTGGCTGCCGGTTTTCCATGGTTCAAGAATGCACTGCAAATCCAGCGTGCCTTCCTGGTAGCACAGGAAACGGAAGTACTGAATAGGGTAGAAATTAAATCTTGTCGCTAAATCGTTATGTCAGCTTGACGTAGGGAGGATTACCTGTGGATGCGCAGCAGTTGCATGGGTGTTCGCGTTACGCTGTCTTTGTAGCTTACGGCTTTTTTCAGTGTGTGTGATGGAGGGGGGGTTCTTTAACAGTACGGTTGCACCGTAAAGAAACTAGCAGATAAACTTACTTGATTTCTGGTGTTTGCCATCTCAGTTTCAGTATTTAGTTTCTGGCTAGTATATACGTGAGTGCCTCGAGCAGTAAGTTCTCATTAAGATGCTTTCCCAGTGGCCGCTCAGGCTGATCTAAGAATGTGGCTCGTTTTATTCAAGGGAGAAGAGCGCTCAGATTCTTCTTCCTTAGCTGTTATTCCTTGGCTCTTGAGTACATGCCAATGAAAACTGGAAAAGTAGCTTTTACAGAGTATATGTATCTATGAGGCTTCCATTAGTGCCTGGTAAAACACGGAGATAACGTTCTTTGTAAGCTTGGACTATTTAAATTGTTGATGCCAATGCCTTGGGTTTTGACTTAAATTTCACTGGTGCCTTTACCTCCAAACCCCTCAGGCCCGCTAAGACTTGGGTCCTTGACTTTAAGGAGGTGCTATACTAATTGGGACACACGAAGATTTTAATCTTTTTAAAACTTGGTTTCATGGCACCCATGTTGATAGCAAGAAGTAGCTGCATTTTTATTTTACTGCCTTTTAATGACTTGGAAACCTGAACAGTTCACTGAGCCTCTGCTACCACTGTAGAGATCTCTGAAGAGATAATGAAAGGAAATAATACTGAGACAGGTGAAGAATTGTACTGAGACATCCTGTAAAATACTGTGATTCTGTGATATAAATCAATACTGCTGTCACTTGAAATATGGACAGAGGTGGATGGTACTCATCTCTCTGAGCATGTAAACCAACTTCCGTTTCAAGTCGTTAGGGAAGAATCGGCTGCATGCAGTCATTGCGTACTTGCCTTTCTCTCTCAGGTTTTCTGAAAGGTTTCGTCGGCCTTTCCTGAAATAGCACGGCTTCCAGTGACGAAAGTGTCTAGTGTGATACAGATCTGATGTAGTGTAATGACTTGTCACAGATTATTATGTTTTGTACCCAGAGGCATTTTCAGTTTTCCTTGTGGTATGCCAGCAATTTGTTAACATGTGTACTTTGTTTATTGCTGTATTCATAAGAATGTGTAGTGGCTGTGATCTGCTTTTTAATAGGTACTTTGGAAAAAAAAAAATCTGTGATGAAGCTCCGTCCTTGTGTATTCTCCCAAGTGCTCGTGGTGAAGATCATATCACCAATTTTGTGTTCATCATCTGCTTGTGAGGCAGGGGAGCAAAAAAAAATAGTCTCACCTGTAGAAACTGAGCTCCTTGTTCTTTTAAGGTTGGTTTCTAAGTAAAATTCCCACACGTGTGCTGTTGCTGTAGTGTGATTCATGTTAGGAAGACTCCCAAGTTGCTCAGATTTTGTTTCTTTGGAGGTTCCCACTTTGAACATGCACAGGGCTCAAGCCTTTGGTGTCCCTTAGTATTCTTAACATTTGGTTTTGAGTCTGATTGTCAAAATGACTTCCCCTAGGGCTTCCCATCAGTCACAACTAACAGTGTGTTTCAGTGTCTTGGAAGGTCATAATAAAAATCCTGGATAATCCTAAAATAAGTTTTCTGAAGTCTTATATCCAAGTTCAAAACTTGTATTTCGGGCTTTGGCTGCTGCCTTGCCCACAAGTTTTTAAGACTGTTGCTTCAAGCGAGTTTCCTGGCTAACTGTGTTTGGGAACAGTTCTTGGTATTGTCTTGTGGCTTGGGTTGCTGCGTTGGGATTATTTTGACAGTCCGTTAAGTGTGAACTATTTGAGCTAAGTACTTGGGCTTTTTTTCTTCGGAGTTCGTTTTTGATGCAGGATCTGACACGTGTGTGGCACTGTTCCTGTGTACTTTCTACCTTTATTACAGGCCCTTCTTGAGCTGAGGTTAATCTCTCAATTTCACCTCATGGGCTTTATGTCCTGTCCAGCTGTAATTGCAAATAGCCCTTCGCATTGGCTCCTGGCTTGGATTAACGGGTTGAGGTTATGTTGGTAAGAAAACAAACGTCTTATTCTAGGATTATCTCCCAAGTTGGCAACTTGGGGTTTTGAGTTGGTCGTCTTTGCCTGCTGCCTTGCCTACACATTCGTTTTTTGAGAGAGTAAGTAGATCAAGCTTTCTTTAGGGAACTGGAGGGAATCTCATGATTGCAGATGCTGGTATTCATGAGCAAGTTCAGCCTTCCTGACATGAGCTGGAAAAAGCAACGTTGGGTGCTGGCAAGCCATCAGAAAGACTTCCAGAGTGCTGAACATCATTTTATGATGCAGATGATCTGTGAGACAGTATGGATGGTTAGGAGCATGGCAAGTAAAACTTAAGAACCATTCGAGGCAGGGGGGAAGTGGGGGAATTATAGGTTGGCCGCCTTCTCCTTGATCCCTGGGAAGGCTTGTAAAGCCAGTCCTCCTGGGAGCTGTGTTCATATCCATGAAGGACAAGAAGGTGTTTGGAACAGCCGGCGTGGATTTACCAAGGGCAGGTTATGACTGACCAACTAGCTTGCCTTCGGCAATGGCACGAATGGGTCAGTGGGTGAGCAAATTGCAATAGATGTGGTTTACCTTGATTTCAGTAAGGCATTGGTTTTCTGTACTATTCTTGGAGACAAACTGGACAGATAGCGTATGAGGTGGGTGGGAAACTGTCTGGACAGCCAGCATCAGGAGGTTGTGGTGAGCAATTCTAAGTCCAGCTGGTAGCTGGCTGCTTGCGAAGTTTCTCTAGGGGCAGTGCTGGGGCTGATGGTGTTTAACACCTTTCCCCTGACCTGGCTGATGGGCTAAAGTGTTCTGCACCAAGTTTCTGGAGGGATAGGCTGGAGAAATGGGCTGACAGGAACATCACGGAGTTCAATAAAGGCAAATTACCAAGTTCTGCATGTGCATGGAAAAACTGCATGCAAAAGTAAAGGCTGGGAAACACCTGGATACCAAGCAGCTTTGCACAAACAGACCTTAGCGTCCTCGCAGAAAAGTTGAACTTGAGTCAGCAGCGTACCTTTGCGGTGATGAAGGGCGGTTGCGTTCTGGGCTGCATAAGCAGGAGTGTAGTGAGCAGAAGTGATGCTTCCTTTCCATTTGGACTCTTGTGACACCCAGACCCAGAGTATTGCTCCCAGTTTTAACTCCTCAGTACAGGAAAGAAACCAACATGCTGAAATGGGTCTGGTGTAGGGTCACCAGGATCGTTAGAGGATTGGAGTGCCCAGAGAGAGGAGACTTTGAGAAGGCTGGGCTTGTTCAGCCTGGAGAACTCCAGGAAGCCTGGAGACCCAAGTCGGGGGATGAACTGTTGCTGCTACCTTCAACTACCGGGTGGGAGGGTGTGGATCCATATTTCTCCAAGATGCGCCACGTTGAATTGAGAGCTGACAGACACAAATTGCAAATGGGAGTTCTGTTTACATGTTAGCAAATAACCTTATTCAGAACTTGTTTTAATGAGCAATGTGTTAGAAACTGGTCATAGTTTGTGCCCAGGTTTGAACCAGGTGACCCCCAGAAGTCCTTTCCAACCTAAATTATTCTATAACAAACGTGAAATGCAGTTAGGTTGGACAAGAAGTACCTAAGGCTTTGGTCATCTCTGAGGCGTAAAGGTTTCCCTTCCCAGCCTTCAGGGAATGCGAATCCAGCCACGTAATTACTTCAGAATATTGGTGCTACCGTCTTTGTGTTACAGGTGTGACAGTAGCCTTTTGAAGCGGATGTGCTTTGAGATAAAGGAATGTTACCGGCTGACTTAAGAAAGTGTATTCCTGTTTGTTTTGCAGTGCTGTTTAACTTGGATTTTTAATTGTTTGTCAGTTTATTGCCAAAGGGTTAAATAAATGGGGCTACACATTTTTAACAGGGTTTTTGGTTGGTTGGTTGGGATTTTTTGTTGTTTTGTTTTTTAAAGCACCTGTTCTGTAAGGGACTTTGTTTCTACACATGAATTGACTGAAATCTTTTTATTTACTCAAAGGAGGTGGGGGAGGGTGTCCTGAATTAGTGGATTAGTTCTGTGTGAATTAAGTTCCTGTTCACATAATTGTTTCCATTCTAATATCATTGTGCTTATCCCCTTTATGGGGAAGTTGTGATATATAGGGCTGTCTTCAAACTAACGTGAATATTTTTAATTACAGCATTTGACACTGTGTACCAAAGAAATGGTGATGGAGAAGCCAAGTCCCCTGCTCGTAGGGCGGGAGTTCGTGAGACAGTACTACACTCTGCTAAATAAAGCTCCTGACTTCTTGCACAGGTAACGCTTTCACACACAAAGTGACTAATGTTTTTGAACAAAAGTGTGTCCTGTTCATAATAAATCAGATAAACATTAATTTCTGAGTACAGGAGGAAATGGACCTGGCTAACTTTTGGGCTCTTGGAAAACTATTTAATCTTACTGAAGACTCCTTAGGCACTGGAACCAAGTCTGATCGTATGGATGTATGGCATGTTATCACGGTATTTCCTGTGCAGAAAAATGAGCTGCTTCTCAGCTGATAAAATGGCAATGTGTACGTATTCCGGAAATACTTTTCTAAAAAGACAGAAAAGAAAAGGAAATAAAATGGCAGAGAAGCACTTGCATTTAGTACTCAAGACAAGCATGCTAATTATTTCAGGTTACTATATTTTGCATTGCCTCTGAGAAGTTTTTATCCAGATTATGATTGGAGATTTAAGTATAAATGTCATAGCCTGGACAAGATAGGTGGGAAATACAGTAGTTTTTTTTTTTTACTTGTGCCCACTATTTAAGTGGTACTCTGACTGTGTTTCTTCCCTTTTTTTGTATTTTCTTCCTTCTTTTTCTGGTTTTGATTGGCTACATAGAGCTTGTTGCTTAAGATTTTGCATTTCCACGTTTGGACTTAGAGCAGCATGGACTTGTAATAAATAAAGGTGAACGTAGCTTTGCCAGACTATAAAAAGAAAAAAAGCAGTCACTGCTTGGGTTGGTCTTGTCTCAGAACTTGACATAATGTTGACGCTGAAAAATTGGACTGTTTGAGCACAAGTTAGAGCTCTTAGGTGGCTTACTTAAGAATTTGGTCTTTTGAATAATGCCTCTTTTCAACTATAGCTTTGAGGTAGGGAAAATGAATGGTATTTTTACTTAAATTACTGAACTGTGGTGGAGCCATGTTGTTTTCTGTGTTTAAATCTATTTTTAAGGTGTCTGAGCAATGTATTCCAGGCTTTCCTAGTCTATCTTTAGTAATCTAACAGAAATTAACAGCAGGACTTCTAGCAATTGCAGAATTTTTCCTCACCCTCAAAACTTCAACAAATGAGTCAGATCAACAGCTGGACGAGTATGTCCATGTAACATATCAATACCTGATATAGAGACAGCGCGCTCTGACCCCAGAACTGTGTTCTTTATGTGCGTATCACACCTGGGTGTTTTCCTCAGGAGGCCTGGGAAAGGACCTCTTGATTTGGACATAGCTTTGGAGGCACCTCTTAGGCAAGTCTGTCAGCAGTTAGCATCTGGTCAATATCTATAACTATTGATTGCCCGTAAAGGTCAGGCAGTTGAAATTCTTTTAAGAGACTTAGAAAGGGTGTGACTGTACCAGTTTTTCAAGGCAAGAATTACGTTGTGAGCAAATGATGCAGTGGAAATCCTGATATCGGAACAGCAGCGTCATTTTTGAATGACAGAAGAGCTCAGGTTAGTAAGACAAGTTTCTTGTCCAGTGTGCTGTCATTTTGCTCGGAAACCCAGAAATTGTTTGCATAAAGAGACAGATGTAAGGGATGATTAGGCCACGCTTCACAGCTTAATACCAAAGGCAGAGGGAGAACTGTATCGGTTCTACAGTGAGATTGCCTTTTCCTTCTGCAACATTTATTTTCAATGGCAGTTAAACTGTATATGGGGGTAAATCACCCATGCCTCAAACTCAGTGTTGAAAATAGTCTTTGATTTTGCTCATAAGAGCGTTTACCTGTAATGATAGTGACTGTACCTTTGGCAGGATTTGGGGGGGGGAGGTATGGGGTGTGTGTTTAAGCAAGAATACTGTCGGTATGTTTTTCTTCCCTAACTGCTTCAGTCAAGGAAGAGCAGCCAGCTGTTCCAGGTTTGCCATCCCTCCTGCTTTCCCTTAGTATGGCAACATTACTTCCATTGCATCAGTATTAACACATGCTATGGGAGCATTATGGAGCTGGTGTTCCTGGGACATATGGGTTCCAGATTGGGGTGATATGAAATTGGCAGAAGTGTACGTCTGAGGAAAAATGGTGTCTGCGGAGACATTTAGCCTGTTGAAGACAACTTTGGTGCTTTATAGGAGGTACTAGATATTATTCCCACACCTTTAAATCTCAAGCTTTACTCAAAGAACTCTGAAATGCAGCTTTCCAAATTATGCTCTATGCATGGTATGTTGAGTGGGAATGGGGAATTTTCCGTAGAGTTAACCTTCTTGCAGGAACTGTGTTTTCATCAAAGGTTCTAGTCCAAAAACTTCAGAGAATTTTTCTTCGTCTATGAAGTGGAGGGGCTGTCGATGACCGGTTGGTTAACTGTCTCCTGGAATGGCCCTGCTGAGGCCAGGGGAGCTGGGTAGACGCTCACGAGGCAAGCTCGCCTGGTGCAGGTGATACTCTGTGCTCATGAATATTCTCTGTCCACTTGAAAGGTGGCACGTGCATCACTAACAATAGCATCTGTGAAATTTCTCTTAAATACCTCTGCACAGAAGTGTCCTGGAGGTTTTGATATGGTTTGGTTGAATCATAGCTGATTCTTGAGCTGCTTGTGTGAAATGTCTTCTAGCCAGTTTTAATCTCTGCCACTGCTGTCCCTTTTTTTGGGCTGCAGAGGTAGCTGCTTTTTTCTAGTCAGGCTCAGATATGGAGGACATTTGCCTCTCTGTTCTTTGGCCCCACCTTGTTTATGAGTGATATTCTTCTAAGAGGACGTCTTGTCTTCCCTCTTTCTCTTGCTGTTAGTCTGAACAATGGCTGGCTCACTGCCACAGAAGGATTTTGGTTTTCAGGGCTTCCCGATGCTCAGTGTGCTCCTTCTCGCAGCGATAAGGGAGTCGGGACAGCAAGTGTTAAAGTTATTTGTTTATCCTACTAAAAGTTTGAGAAGAGCACCAAGTATCCTATCGCTAGTCATTATCCAAAGCTTATCCAGAGGTTACGGGTAAGCAGAGATCAGTTTCCCTCTAAATGGATGTTACTCCGTGTAGTTTGCATGCCTGTTGTACTTTAGGTGAATTTATATGGCTTTACTGGCCCCTTAACTGAAAATCTGTAGTTACATGTAACTGGAGACTTAACATTTACTCCTTTCCTGATCCGCAGTGCCCACTTGTTAGGTCTTCTGCCTACCAAAGAGTTCGAACAGTTCCTTAAAGGCAAGCTCAAACTCTTAGTCCCCCTGTGAAAGCACTTAGTAAGATATGCTGACTCTCAGAGGGCTTACTTTGGAATTTAGAGAGTGAAAAAATGTTTTCCTATCTGCTTGTGCACTGCTTCAGCAGAACTTCTGGTTTTCCTTGCTGTTACCAAGTGCTGGACCACGCTCAAAAACATGGTTATGCAGTTGGTAGCAAAGAACACAATCTAATATTTCCCAGACTTTTTTCTGGACATAGTCAAGAGAGTTAAAATCTTGGGCTGGTGTTTTCGGGAAAGTAGAACTGGAAAGAGTTTCTAGGTTTAGTAGGATAAACCAAGAAATGGCAACTGTGGAAGTTCTAGTGTTTAATTCTGAATCTTAACACTGACCCTCTGCATTGGCTTGTTTAACCAGAGGGAAATGTTCTGTACCCCTGCTAATCTGTGTGACAGCGAGTTCACAGAAGTACTTAATGAGAATTTTATTTCATATATACAGTACAAGAGTGGATAATAATGGTATCTTGTAGAGGTAGGACAAATGTTAGCATTCATACCCCATGGAAGGTGTGATATGATGGTTTTGTCTGTTCTATTAATTTAAACGTATGGAAAATATTAAGCATTTGTCACACGCTTTATAAGCTGGCAGTAAATATCCAAAACAAAACTTAGAATATTTTAGGCTCAAAATTTGGAAGTGAAATGGAAGTACAAAAAGATCTCTGAAATGTAAGAAAAATATTGGAAGCCAGTGTACGTATATTACGTATAGAAAATATGGGCTTTTGAAATCCAGTCCAGAAGCTAGGCCAAGAAAGGGTCTCAGGGTTTGTTTTTCCTGGAGTGGTGCAGTGGTTTGTGCTGCTTGCAAGACCAAAACCACAACTGCTACTTGTTGGGTAGCATAAATATGGAATATTAGTTTTATGTCGAGTTATACAGTGGAGACTGGTATAAGTGGTGATACAGTTATTGTACACAGTGATGCAATTAATGCAAATAAAATACTGTTCACTGTCTAACTGTAAGAAGCATAGAGAGAGTGCTGGTTTTGGGCTACATCTAGTACTGAATTTATACCCCGGTGTGGCAGCAGTAAGATGCAGTTTTGTTTGGCCTTCTTTCATTTGCTGGTGTTTTACACTTGATTTCAGATAGCATTTATTCTGGGGGCTTTGTGTTCACCTGTGGTGTTTGAGAGGAACGTGGTCTTTTCTAATAATTTTGGAGTTTTGTAATGAGCTCTTTGGCCATTGCTTTCAAGAAAGCTGAAGTGCGAAATAACAGCCACGTAGAGCAGAGAGATGGGATAGGTGGGGAGGTGGGTTGGCTGGTCAGACAAGTCTGAATCCGAGGCAGAACCCCTCACTGCTGCCCGAAGCTTTGAAGAGAACAGGGATTCAGAGGAGAGGCAGGCGGGTTGTTCCTCCCTAGGCTAACGCCTTGGCTGGGTAGCGCGGCTTTAACGTGGGCAGATGATTTTGAAGTGAAGGGTTGAGGTTGATTTAGGAGCTTGCTACATATCTTGGGCAAACTGGAATACCATGACAACAATAATGTTTGTTCCTGTATTCTTGGAGCCTCGCAAGTGGAAAATATGTCTTGAATTGCTGTTTGTGCTGAAATTCCTGATGCATTTAGCTCCACAACTTATGGCTAAAATATTTGTTGGATTTGGTTCTTATGCTTTCGCTGCTATGACCTTTACATCTCTTTACTTGCAGGTTTTATGGCAGGAATTCTTCTTATGTCCATGGAGGACTGGATGCCAGTGGGAAACCGCAGGAAGCAGTGTATGGTCAAGCTGTGCGTATCCAAATCAGTCCTGTAGTCCTCATTAATGTTCAGAACTTAGTTGTATAAATCAGTCTTTTTTGTTTGCCAATTACTTTGATTTTCTTATCTGGTAAATAATGTATTGTGATACTGCCTCCTGTTCAGAGACAGATAGGAATTTGTTGGATTGAATTTTTTTGTTTGATTGTTCCTGCTTTTATTGTGGGTTGTGTTTGGTTCATCGGCTTTGCATCTGGACTGCAGAAAATATATTTAGGATGGGAAACAAAATCAAGAGGACCTGTTAGACTTGTGCTATTGATGTATCATATTTCAGTAAGAAGTGGTTCCTTAGGAAGGGGACTTTGGTCATTGCCAGTTGCATGGAGTTGTGTATGTTACCAAATTCCTCTGTGAGTGGAGTTTCCAGAATAATGTCTGTCACCTAGGGGCATGTTCATGTGGTAGCCACATCTTTGAGCAATGTGGCTTCTAGCCCAGGGCAGGTTTGGTTTCTTCTCCTTTCACTGGCGGAACCTGATTTGGCGGCACAAAAGTCTTGGCGGCAGGGCAGATGTTACCCCTTCCCGTGATGTTCGGGTACTTTGCGGATGCATAAAGGGTTGGGTTTTTTTGTTTTGGGGGGTGGTGCTTTGGTTTTTTCCAAAACACAAGGTAAATCCTGTCCCTCTCACAAGCCCTTTAAACAAGTGAATTCTTAAAATAGGTTATATGTTGTAATACAGCTGGAAGAATTGGATAGCAAGTTGTATGCTATTTGACCACCCTGAGAAGTAATTGTATCCTGGTGGAAACTTCAGAATAAAAGTTAGATGAGCTCAGGCAGACTGTCTTCAGTGAAAAACACTTCTTGGTTCCTGTATTTACCTTTTGAGCTTCCGTGGGGTGGTTTTTTTTGTTAGTTCAGACTCAGGTATTTAAAAGGTGTAAAGCTCTGTGCAAAACTAAGTGTAGGTAAAATGTAACTTTCTGTTTCTAGGAGATACACAAGAAAGTGATGTCATTACAGTTCAGTGAATGCCACACCAAGATTCGTCATGTGGATGCTCATGCTACTCTGAGTGATGGGGTGGTTGTGCAAGTAATGGGAGAGCTGTCAAACAATGGGCAACCAATGAGGAAGTTCATGCAGACTTTTGTGCTTGCTCCAGAAGTAAGTATATGTAAGATTGTCTTTTAACTTCAAATAAGGATGATGGAAACCTGACCTGTAGCTACAATTTGTCATATTGGGGCAAAAGATATGATCTGGCTTTCAGAGCTTGGCGCAGGGGCTATCATTAAATGTGTCACAGTATGGGAGTGCAGAGAAATTAGTATATTGGACCCATCCTGAGCTGTTTTATTTTCTTAGACTTGAAGTATTGGAGCAGTAATACAAAGGAAATTGGAGCTTGCATTTGGGAGCTGCCATTGGCACAAATAAATAAAAAGCATAATGTTCAGCTCTGCAGACCAAGTCTCTAGTGTAGTTCTGTCCTTTCTTCAAGTTTGCTGGCAAATGTGAGTATGGGTTGATGCTGTGCAAGTTACTGCTCAAAATTAGCTCTTAGTGAGAGCAGAGCTGTGTCAGGGTGTATTGGTTTTATGTGGCAAGGTTTTGGTAGCGGGGGGGGTTACAGGGGTGGCTCCTGTAAGAAGCTGCTGGAAGCTTCCCCTGTGTTCGAGAGAGAGCGAGCCCGTACCAGCCGGCTCTAAGACGGACCCGCCGCCGGCCAAGGCTGAGCCAATCAGCGATAGTGGTAATGCCTCTGTGATAACATTTTTAAGAAGGAAAAAAAGTTGGGACGCGGAGAAAACAGCCACCGGAGAGAGGAGTGAGAACATGTAAGAGAAACAAGCCTGCGGACACCAAGGTCAGTGCAGAAGGAGGGGGAGGAGATGCTCCAGGCGCCGGAGCGAAGATTCCCCTGCAGCCCGTGGTGAAGACCCTGGTGAGGCAGGCTGTCCCCCTGCAGTCCATGGAGGTCCACGGTGGAGCAGATATCCACCTGCAGCCCGTGGAGGACTCCACGCCGGAGCAGGTGGGTTCCCGAAGGAGGCTGTGACCCCGTGGGAAACCCGCACTGGAGCAGGTTCCTGGTAGGACCTGCGGATCTGTGGAGAGAGGAGCCCACAGAGCAGGTTTTCTGGCAGGACTTGTGACCCCGTGGGGGACCCACGCTGGAGCAGTGTGCTCCTGAAGGACTGCACACCGTGGAAAGGACCCATGCTGGAGCAGTTCGTGAAGAACTGCAGCCCGTGGGAATGGCCCACATTGGAGAAAGTTCGTGGAGGACTGTCTCCCGTGGGTGGGACCCCACGCTGGAGCAGGGGAAGAGTGTGATGAGCCCTCCCCCTGAGGAGGTGAAGCAGCAGAAAATAATGTGTGATGACCGTAAACCCCATCCCTGTCCCCCTTGTGCCGCTGGGGGGGCTTCGTGGAGAAATCCGGGAGTGAAGTTGTGCCCGGGAAGAAGGGAGGGGTGGAGGGAAGGTGTTCTGAGATTTCGTTTTATTTCTCATTTACCTTACTCTGGCTGATTTGTATTAAATTGAGCTAATTTTCCC